TTAAAAATTAATTTTATTTTTATATAATTTTATAATAAAAAATAAATTATTAAATTCTTAAGATAAAATATAAAAACATTCAATATATTATATAGGTAGAAAAAGAAAATTTTAAAAGGCCACTAAAAATTAGTAAAAAAAATATTATTCTTTTTGTATTAAAAAGTATATTTTAATCATTTTTATCTATTTTTTTACAACCCAAAAGAAAAAAGGACCACCTTGCTCAAGACTGACTGAGACATGGATATGTAAACCGAGAAGACCCAAGAATAAGTAAAAGCTTCAGAAGCAGCCATGGACATGTCGAGCGACTTCGATCGACTGCTCTTCTTCGAGCATGCCCGCAAGACCGCGGAGACTACCTACGCCAAGAACCCTCTCGATGTCGATGTTCGTTTCTCTGTTCTTCGATCAGTTTTTCTGTTCTTCTTTTATGCTTCTTATTGATGGTTTGTTTGGATGCTGAGAAAGTTGAGAGGAATAACAGCTTCCAATTCTCATTTAATTGAATGGAAGCTTAAAGATATTTGCTTGTTTGATTGTTCACTTTTGGTATTTTTTTGCACAGAACTTGACGAGATGGGGAGGAGCTTTGCTGGAATTATCTCAGTTTCAGAGCGTTCCAGATTCGAAGAAAATGATTCAAGGTGCGCTCTTTCTTCTATTTCTCAATTATTAGTTCATTTAGCCTTCTTTTAGATGAAATTGAATAATATCAATTTGATTGAAAAAAAAAAAATCCTGTTTAGGGTGTTCTGACCAAATTAATTAGGAAAATTAGTGTTAGCTGAATTTAATTAGCAGCTGAAAATAAGAAAATCTATGTTAAGTATTATAGGAATCATGGGAAATTTCAAATTTGTAAAAGTTTTAATTTTGACTACAATTTACATGATTTGTTTTGTTTTAAACAGAATCCATTTCAAAGCTGGAGGAGGCGTTGTCACTTAATCCAAAAAAACATGATACTCTTTGGTGCTTGGGAAATGCCCTCACTTCTCAAGCTTTTCTAACTCCTGATCAGGATGAGGCTAGGGAATATTTTGACAAGGCTGCTGTCTACTTCAAACAAGCTGTTGATGAGGTAACCCTTTTCATTTCATAATCTCACTCAGTTTATATACATGTGTAAACATTTTAAAATGGTTAAGGTCGATGATATTGTACTGTTGCTTTTGTGTTTTTGTAGGATCCCTCGAATGAACTTTACCGCAAATCTTTAGAAGTTTCCACTAAGGTACTTTCCCATCTTTGTTGATGGTTATGTTTTGGAACTTTAATTTTTGTGAAGCTGAAGCATTAGTTATGAAATCTTGGTTTAGGATGGGCTTTAGATTTAAAACCTGATACACTTATTCTGTTTCAGTTCTGTTGTGGATTTTCTTATATTTAGAGGTGTTGACAATTATAATTTTGGTCATTGGCGCATGTTGTTAAGGAAATTTAGATTAATGTTACTGACCAGTAGCTTCTTCTTCCTGTTATTATTTTGGATTGGGGATTTTAAATGTTTCATAGTGGTACTGACTCTTGGTTCGGCATTTGAAAATTGGGATGCTTAGTACCTCAATGAAGAAAGCCTTGTGATTGAAATACAAATGGTGAAAGTATGTTAGTTTAGCCACTAGGTTAATATGCATGGAATTGTATTTATGCAGTGGACGCATCACTTACAATAGATAAACATGAAGGTGCACCAAGTGCGATTAGATAATTTTGATAATCTACTGACCAACAAGTCTGATTTATTTCTTCTGATTGATTTCTTTAGTTTATCAGAATGTGCCTCATTGATTCTACTAATCCTTGTTGCTTAGGCCCCAGAATTACACTCAGAGATCCACAAGCATGGAGGACCGGAATTTGCTGGACCTTCTGCCTCATTCGCTTCAACAATGGTAATCCTCTTTACCTTCAATAGTCCTTTGCCTTTTTATTTTCTTTTTTGTTCCCTTTTAGAAACCTGAGCTTTTGTTGTTGTTCTTCTTCTGTATTTCCATTTTCCTTACTGAAATGCTTTTATGATGATGAAAGGCATTTGCTAGATTAGATTGATGATTGATCATCTTAATTTAGGATCTCCAGCATTGTTGAAGTGATGTTAGGATTGTAGGATTGCCCTTTGTTATTGACATTCCTTCATATTTGCTTATTTAGCTAACATGCTTTGGCTGATCTCTTGTTTTTAATGTATTCTGATTACTTTCTGGATGCTTCAAATTCTGTTTTTGGTTCTCATTGTTCTCTCCGTCTTCACCTTCCTTTGCAGACTTCTAAGAAGAAGAAAAGCAGTGATCTCAAATATGATGTATTGGGATGGGTGATCCTTGCTGTAGGGATTGTTGCATGGGTAGGATTTGCAAAATCTCATGTGCCGCCTCCTCCACCAGCTCAATAAGTGGAGAATTTAGCACACCTTGTGCATTTTGGAGATACAAACAGTTTCTAGACTCTGTAGGTGATGATTGTAGAAAACTGAAAATCTTATGTCCTTCACCATATGTTGTTTATTTTTTTTATCATTATCATTATTATTATTATTATTGTTTTTCTTCCCTACGGCAAGGGCAAATGATTAATAAGTTACGGTTATAGTTTCATATGAAACAGTGATTCTATATTTTTGATGTTGTTAAGAAGCTTTCTTCTAGACTAGATACATTGCAATAATGTGGCATTATAGAAAATTCACCCAGAATCACTTTGATTAGAGGTGTTCTCAAGATAATTGACTAATTGTATCTGAATCTATATATAGATAGACATGATGCAGACAGATGGTGTTAATTTGTTGAAGCTATATATCTGCAGATTTCTTGCAAGAGATGTTGTTCATATTTCCTCTGTTGGATAACTTGGTTAAAGTGAATGTGTGTGGTTAGTGTTGCGGAAAGAATAATTGGAGTGGATATATAATGTCCTATGCTCTTTCATACATATGCTGCTATGCTATCTCCTGTTTCAGGTGGCATGTTTGGGGGGGCGCTGCGTTGGGTGATGGGCTGAATGGCAGATAGCTTGTTGGGAAAATGTCATCAAATGAAAATATGAAAGTGCTCATTCTGGAAATATTTTTTTTTCAAAGAAAAAAATTAAATTTTTTTTTAATAGGCACAATTTACTAGTGTAATTATTGCATATTTTTAATACTAGTACTAAAAAATAAAAATTAACTTTTATTTAAATAAATGTCAAATTAAAAGGATCCGCATAGCACTAAGATGATGAATTACCTTGGATGGTTGGTCAAGAAGATGATGGATAAGCTTTACATGTAGACGCTCTTATCCCTACAACACCTTAAACCCTTTGCTTCTTGAGAGACTTGCGGCGCTTTTAGTCCTTTTGCACTCAAGGGTGGATCATCAGTCCTGCTTCCACTTCTGTTTTAGTTCCTCGTGGAAGACTCGTTAACTATACAAAAAAATTGACAGACAGCCCTCTTTCTTTGACTTACAGGGCTGCAAAAACAGAGTCTAAAATTTGGGCTTTATGTGGGCTTAGTCTATCAACCTGAATGACCATTTCTTCACACAGGAGGAGTAGGCCTAACCCAATAGGGTTTGGGCAATTTTTGGTTTTTCTTAGATGGGTTTGAGGTTAATTTTGTAATTATACGTTGTCTTGGGTTGGATAATGAATGAGAAAGGTATGTTGGGTTTGTTTTAGCCACAAAATAAGGTTTTGTCAAAGGATTTATGTAATATATTTCAAATTATATATTAAAAGTGAAATTTGTTTTATAAATTTATTAAAATATTTTTAATAAATTAATACAAGAAATAATTTTATTAAGATTATTTTAATAAATTTATAA